CATATATAATGAGAAATTATATTTGACTTCAGTTGAACCATATTCACTCAAAATCAAGTTTAAAAAACCCTTTCAACACACTTTACAACATATTTAAGCATCTACCTTGACTTTCTTTATAAAAAATAATGTCAAAAATATTTCCTTTACAGATTTGCAATGACGTTATTTTGTACAGTTTGTATACTTTCTGATTCAACTGCTTGACTTTCGAACTGTGTTTGGTGAATGTAAAAATAGTTTCCCTGAGTTTTTAGCCAAGATTCTTAGGTTTCTTTTGATATCAAACATGTCCAGGTTCAACTGACAGACCTTAAGTTAAAAAAGTTAAAGGAAATGGATAAAGGGAAAAAAAACAGTTTTGACTTTGATCAGGTTCTGGTCCAGATATCTTGTGGATCCTTCAGATTAAATAAAGTCATAATGTCATGCTGCTTTTAGAGACAAGAGGTCACGACTGTTGACCTTTAACCTGCTGACTGAGGCCTGTAGAGTCTGAGATAGAGCTCACTGCACAGCCTGACCTTCAGGGTGAAAACTGTCACCTGTTGTAAATGTGAATGGTCTTTCTGTAGAATGATGGGCTCTAAATAACCTTTGACCCTTAGATTGACAGGCAGCTTCTCTGAGACTAGTGCTGATTTTACACTGTGTGTGCACTTAGAGGCGGTCCCACTGATGAAGAGTTAAAAGAACAGATCAGTCAACAGAATAAATAATCAGAAGTGACGTGGAGCTTTGAGCTCAGTGTTGATCGTTACCAATATCACAGAACTCGCAGCACAAACTAAATATTAAGAGTTTAAACCTGAGGCGTCACACAAGCAGCAGGGAGTGTGAAATATGCTGACTAATGGTGTTCCAACAGAAACTGATTCTGTCCTGAAGGAAGTCTAAAATAAAGGAAAACGTCTGCAAGGAGCCGTTTTCTGTCTTCTGTTGAGGCTAAACACACACGTTCTCACGGTTATATACACAGCAACACTCGTGAGAAAATAAAAACCACAAGGCAACCCCACTCTGTGAAAAACATGGGGGAACATCTGTCTGTTCCAACAACTGCATCTGTCCCGGGAACCCCGAGGCAAGACAAAACTGCCGCGAAGGAAAATCTAATTTTATTTGAGAACAGAACCGTCTCCGATGTGTGACAGACTCAGTCAAGGAAAAGTGACATAACTGGAAATGATGCGTCTGTCTCCGGGGTCCGTGTGTGTGTGCGTGTGTGTGTGTGTGTGTGTGTGTGTGGGGGGGGGGGGTGCTTTAGTGCCCTCTTGTGACCAGTCAGACAAAAAGCAGCGCAGCTCTGCAGAAGGTGATCCATTACAGAAAGTGTGCAGTTAAATTTAAGTTTTAATTAATTGAAGAATAAACAGAGTTTCATAACGGCAGGAAAAGATTTAGCAGGAAGTCTTCACCAACCAGAGCTTATCGTTGAAAACCCTTTTGTAAATCTGACATGTTTGCAGGCTTCAGATTCTGCCTGACGACAGCAGGATTTGTGAAGAATCCAAGTTGGTCACAGATGTAAGTTTTCTGATGGGAGCAGAGCAGCATGCCGGTGTGTATCCATGGCAGAGGAAGAGGTTATAAAACAGAGGGGGACTGGTAGAGATGCATGCAACACCCAGACGGAGGCCTTGTCACTGTGATTTATGTGAAGCCTTGAGCAAACTCCTTCAGTGTGTGTGTGTGTGTGTGTGTGTGTGTGTGTGTGTGTGTGAGCAAATGTTCCGTTCTGAAAATGTACTGAAGAAATGTACTGCACAGTTTATCCTGAAACAACTGTTTTACAGTAATGAACTGTATAACTAACATTTCTCTTTCTGCTGAAAATCTGTTTAAATCTCATCTTCAACCTATTATCTGTGATCGGGTCAGAGACGCCACAGGTTCAGTAGAAAAACTCAGACATCCTCCTGATGAACAAACCGAGGGACCAGACAAAGACTCAAGGGACCAACCAAGGAATTGAGGAACTGACCAGCAAACTGAGTGACCACTCAACAAAGCAAGAGACAGACCAACAAACAGAGAATGACCAACAAATACAGGGATTGACAAGCAAATCAAGTAACCAATTTAAAAAACCAAGGGACTGACCAACAAAATTAGAGTCCGACCAAGGAACCAATGGAACTCAAACTCATTAAGGAACTGAGGAACCGACCAACAAACAGAGGGACAGACCCATAAATGAAGGGACCGACCAACAAACTGAAGGATAGACCCACAAATGAAGGGACTGACCAACAAACTGAGGGACAGACCCACAAACAGAGGGACAGACCCATAAATGAAGGGACCGACCAACAAACTGAAGGATAGACCCACAAATGAAGGGACCGACCAACAAACTGAGGGACAGATCCACAAATGAAGGGACCGACCAACAAACTGAGGGACAGACCCACAAATGAAGGGACCGACCAACAAACTGAGGGACAAAACCAGAAATGAAGGGACCTACCAACAAACTGAAGGATAGACCCACAAATGATGGGACCACCCAACAAACTGCGGGACAAACACATAAATGAAGGGACCGACCAACAAATTGAGGGACAGACCCACAAATGAAGGGACCGACCAACAAACAGAGGGACAGACCCACAAATGAAGGGACCGACCAACAAACAGAGGGACAGACCCACAAATGAAGGGACCGACCAACAAACTGAAGGACAGACCCACAAATGAAGGGACCGACCAACAAACTGAAGGACAGACCCACAAATGAAGGGACCGACCAACAAACTGAGGGACAGACCCACAAATGAAGGGACCGACCAACAAACTGAAGGATAGACCCACAAATGAAGGGACCGACCAACAAACTGAAGGATAGACCCAAAAATGAAGGGACCGACCAACAAACTGAAGGATAGACCCAAAAATGAAGGGACCGACCAACAAACTGAAGGATAGACCCAAAAATGAAGGGACCGACCAACAAACTGAGGGACAGACCCACAAATGAAGGGACTGACGGCAGGGGGAAGGGACCGACAAATGGATGACCTTCAAATGAAAACTTTTACTTAATTTTTTTCTTCTCTCCTAATCGTTATTTATGTCAGTGTAACTGCACCAAAACATTTACATTTAAAAATACCAAGCAACATCAAATGATATAAAAACACGTAAATATAGATCCTTAAAACAAAAAAGATATTAAAAAAGCA